TCACTGGTAGGATAGAAGAGAAAACCATCTGTGCGCCTGTCTCCTTTAGCACACACCCCAAAGCATGGTAGTCCGCCATCAAGTGTTCAGGGCTTCTCCTGGTCACATCATTAGTACCCACATGGATTAGGACCATGGGGTAGTAATCAGTGGGCTGGATCACAGGTATGATGCACAAGATAAACTTAGAGATTTTCAAGAGGAAACTGTAGTGTCAAAACCATTGTGCCCTGCTGTGGGCTTGCCAAGGTCTTCACAACAGAACAGCTCTGTAATTTTTCTTTAGTCAAAAGCTGAATGGAAATGAAGAGCTGGCTATTTTTTGAGGGCTGTGTTGGGTTTAATGAGGGCTGCCTCAATTCTGTCCAGGAGTTCCTCTATCCAGGGGTGCCTCGAGCTAAAAAGGTTAAGCACACCACTGCTGGAGCTGATCGTACGTGATCATGAAACGTACACACATACTTAAGAGATCGGTGTAAATAGGGTGATTTAGGAAAGGTGGGTTTTCCCCAGGAAATGAACTAAACACAATTTCAGTGGCATTATTGGTGAAGGACTTCACTGGAACTGGTTACAGAACCCAAGACTGTTTGGCAGGGGGAGCAGAGCACTGATTGCACAGCATTTGCATTTTCCTGGGCAGCTGTTTTCCTTGGATCTGGTTTGTAGCATTGAAATCAGGGATGCAGTTTATGTAAAAAGTTAAGCTCTTTTTCTTTGAAAGTAAGTGGTTAGCTGCATGTTTGGTCAGCATGCCTTATGCATGCATCAGTGACAGTTTTAATAGGTGTAAGTAGCAGTCATCCTATGCCTGGGGCAGATGGAGAATTCCTGGAGTAAAACAAGTTCATAAAATACAGTTGAGGTATTTTTAGTAGCTGCCAGACTACTACAGTAGCTGACTTGGTCCACATTATCTTTTTCTCCGCTAATGGGCTCAGCACAGAAAAACAGAAAGGAGGAAAGAAAGTCTTTCCCTATATCTTCAGTGCCAAGCATAACATAGGGCAGTGTGTGGCAATATTTTTGGTCAGTAAGTTGGAATGACCCAGCTCGGGTACAAATTAGGCCAGCACTAGGACCTGGCTGCTGCTGTAACTGCCCTGACAGTGGCGTGGGAAAAGCCTCCTGGCTCTGGTCTGGATCTAGCCCGGGCCAGCCTATGGGCCATAAGGTTGCTGACCCCTGGCTTAGAGTCTCAGGGTCCCTTTAACCATTAGCCTGGCTGATGTACTCTCAAGGTCCTATCAGACTTGGCGATGCTTTGGAAGGGTAGTTATAGAGTACTTCTGTGAGTGCAGATAGATTAACTGAAAAGTTTCCAAGTGTAATAGTTTGCAATGTTTTTAAAATGGAGCATTTCAGCTGTAGACTGACGTACATCTCCAGACAATCTACCTCCCAGCACCTGCAGTATCTGCAGCACCCCAAGTGGCTAGAGTGCTAGATGCCACTGTGCCCAGAGTGCTGGAAGCTGTGGCACCAACAGCAACCAAGGTGTGTAAAACCAAAGACTGTAGAATGCAGGCAGCAGCTGGGGTGTGGGGAGACCACAGGGTGGCAATAGTGGCCAGCGTGCAAGAAGCCTGGCACGAACGGAAGTGCTGCACTCTAGCATGCCTGCAGGACCAACTACTATACATATGTAAGATTAAATATTCCAAAATAAAATAAAACTGCCACCTGCCATGCTTCCTTCCTCCTTCCAATGCTTCCTCTGTGATGAGATGTTTTCCCTAGGGGCCATTTACAGCCTACTAATGCAGCATGGAACGACCACTTTTGCATTCAATTAGTGAGTGCTAATGGCAAGCTTAGGGTGTGTGTATATTATTCACTCCAGATAATACATTTCAGACCTAGATCTCACTGAACAGGAAGACCTCAGCATTTGGAAATCATGGGTGTTATTACTACCTGGCTCTGAAAGTACACAATGTAAACTATTCCTTGTTTAGGTATATATGATGCAAATTGGAAAATGTGCATATGTTCGCTGAGATGTTTTGTACATATCATATAACATGCGTACTGAAATCAGACTAGTCAGTTATACCCATTTAAAAATTTTGACTGATGAAGTTTAAATTTGATATCTAAATGTGTACAGAGAACAACCTTGTATCCTAATATTCAAGATTTATCTCATATACGCTTGTCCAAATATGTATGTTCAAACATATGTAGGATAAATACTATTAAAACTTCTTCTAGAATGACTGAAATAGAAAATGATGATATATTTCCTATTTAACAGCCAAGCTCAATGTGATGTTTTCAATAAGGGCAGTTACAATAATACATATCTTCCTCTGGGGAAAAAAAGCACCTCAAGCATAGCTTTCAGTAACTATGGAGGAAGAAGGACTAATGGCTCAACAATGTATTTCAGATACTTCAGATACGTTGCCAATGTATTAACCTGGGTTATGTTCAGAAAATACATTCCTGAGTGCCAGGACTGAGTCCTAAGGAAATAAGTAGCTGAGGGTAAAATATAGAAGTATTATGAGTTGGTTCCCAGTTGTACACCTGACAGCATTATGAATTTTGCTTGCATAAATATGGGACTTCGTTATAATAAAATATGTACAAAATTCTTTAATTGCTAGGCTTAAAAAATAATAAGCTTATAAATGCTGCATAATATTCAGCTTTTTGTTTTCTGTTCCTGGAGCCAATTCTTCTTCCAGTGTTATCAGTGAAAGAAGGAATGGGCCCATAATATTGGTAGAGCTGCTAGTAAAAATAGTTTGTAAACAATATCATCTATTAATAGAAATGTATATGCTTATGTCAGCATTAGTGCATGAATGAAATTAGCCTCCTTAGGAGGATCAAAATACTTCTGTAAAACCTTGTTTTGCACCATCTTCATTTAAA